ATTATTATTAATTAAGCAATTTATTGATGCCAATAGATTGAGAGTCAACAATCCAGCCAATGGGAGATCCTGGGCCCCACTGTGATACGAAGTCAGTACCAATGACATGAAGTCCTTATAGTTGGTCAGAGAATCTTGAATTGTGTTTTTAGACCTCAGTCTCAGACCGTATTTACACAGTTGGGTCTGGGAACCTTGACTCGCAAATGAGGAATAAGAAAAGAAACTAACCCTGAGAAATGCTCAGTATGCTTTTTCCGTTACTTCTTCAGCTTTGAAGTGTGAAGTGTTAAAAGAAGATGCCATTAAATACAATCCATCAAGATCAGCCCAAGTGTTCCCTGCACAGGAAAATTCAAAGAAATCTGTAAGACCCCAGCATAAACAGAATCAACCATCTTTAAAATTGTGCTGTGCACATGCAGATACCTAACTGACCTTAAGACAAAAATAGAGGACACGCTTTTTCCCATTAACTCCCCAATACCTACCAGCTCACTTCACTCTACTGACTAGAGGAGAGGCCTGAGAGAGTGGACACCCACACCATCTGCTGGAGGCTTCTAATTGCACACACACTGATGGTGTAGCTCAGGACAGTCAACCACAGCTTCATTTATGTTCCAAAGTGGCGATTTTTGTTTATGTATTTATATTACTTCTGTTTTAGGTCCTTCTGATCACATACCTTTCCTGGAGGTGGGAGCTTTTTCTCTCTACGTTCCCCAAGAAGAGACAGCAATAGTGGCCATATAGCCAAGCTATAAGAATATCTCATAATATTCCACCACTGAGATGAGAGCCAACAAAACGGACTAAACATTACCTGTGAAAAAGGAAGCCTATCACCGGGAGACACCCAGTAAGCTTAATAACAAAGAACAGACATTCACTTAAGTTTAAAAAAAAAAAAAGAAAAGAAAAACACATAACTATCATGACAAGCAAAAAGCAACCAAGAATATTGGAACATGTTCCAAAACAGAAGAGAGTAGCTGATGCAAATGAGCTAAAGACAGACAAAAGATTTCTAGAGGAGGAAGGGCAGGTTTTGGATATGCCTGAGAAAGAATTCAGAAGAATGATATGGAAACAAATTCAAATGATCCAAAAAGGGCTGGAGGAAAACAAGGGAGAATTCAGGAAAATACTACAGGAGCAATCAAATAAGATTGATACAGCATTGGAAACTCATGAAAACCTGTAAAAAGATATCTACAAGATCAATAATAAGATATAAGATATTGACAATACTTTGAAAGGGGAAAGGAGCAGAATAGAAGAGATGGAAGCCAGAACTAGTGAGCTGGAAGACAAATATCTCAATATTGCTAAGATAGATGAGCAAGAAGAAAAAAGGATAAAAAAAGCTGAAGAAAGTCTATGATTCATGCTGGATAACATGAAGAGGAACAAC